GCCATCGGAGTACGCCCCTATCAATTTTTGTGATAAAGTCGTCTTTCAATCCTGCCATATTGCGAATCTCTTCGTTTCGCTTTCGGTCGGCTATGCCGCACATTTTACGAAGAGATCGCATCTCCACTGCATTCAATGCTTAACTGCATTCACTTGCTTTTATGCTTCTTCTGGCATACCCAGGTTTCGCTGACATATAAAAAAGTCGGTACCAACACTGCGTTATGTATTGCAAGGCGTGCACTCTTCACTACACCTTGCCTTTTGACTAACGCATTCAGGGCACCATTGACTTTGTTCCCGGCAGCGACACGCCTGTCCACATCTAAATCACATCTTTCATCCCGGCTGAAAGCACTCCCCAAGTATACAATTTCATTTACCTGTTCTAGACATTCCTGATTTACCCATATTTCACTTTTCGTTCTCTCTTCGTCCTTTTCAAATACCAGAACCTTAGTTTTATTAGCATTCAAACGGAGACCTTTCATTTCACATTCCTCTTGTGACTAGTGCCTGCATTCTGCTTCTGATGGTGCAATAAGCACTGTATCATCAGCATACAGCAGACAATTTACTTTAATGTCACCCAATTTCACACCCACACAGCTATTTTTCAGTTTCTGTAAACAACTGTCGAGATACAGTATGAACAGTCAGGAAGACATGATACAACCCTGTTTTACGCCCGCTTGGACGCTAAACATGGGTGACAGGTCATGCTACCGCACACAGGCTTTACAGTCATAGTAAAGTGACTGCATAGCCCTTAACAATAACGACCATCCACACACGGCAACAGTTCCCACATTTTCTTCTTTATAACCTTATCAAATGCTTTCTCCAGATCCACAAAAGCACAATTAATTTTAATTTTGATTATTCTAATTTTTAATTATCAACGTTTCGGGTGCTTTCCGGCACCCATAGTCACGGGGGACTGAGGTGACTAACGTCATACACGTTGTTAAACCCAGAGTACCTTCAGCTTTTTTAATTATTGTTTATGGTCCGATCTATGCAGAATGAACTTACTCTGTCTTGACGTCTTGCAGTGGTATGCTTGGATTTAGTTTTAATTTTATTAATTACAGCGTCCCAAGCAGGTAGTAGTACCCAGCCTCCTTCTCTATTGAAATTAGGATGTTTTTTTTAATTTCAATAGCTACAATCACCTCAGTCCCCTTGACCATGGGTGCTCGAAAGCACCCGAAACGTCGGGAATTAAAAATAAAATAAAATAATTAAAATTAAACGCGATAAAATCCGTAAAAGTAATTTTAATCAATGTGTAGTGTTCGCGTAAATATAAGAAATCGTTAAATAATAATCCTTCCTAGCTGTGAAGATCTTTCTGCTATTTAATCACCAGTTTCCTTGCAGATAGGAGCATCAAAGTTGTGTTAGATAGTGCAAGCTCCTATTACAAGCCTATTATTGCTGGTGTTCCACAAGGGTGCGTGCTTTCACCTACGTTTTTTCTTCTGCATATTAATGATATGTTCCAAACCAGTAGTAATACTTGCTATGCGTACAACAGCACTGTCAGTACTTGCAGTTTCTAGCGCATTTAACACAAGAAGTGCTCTTAGGAGTTCCTTAGAAAATTGTAAGTGAATCCCCGATTAAATTCGGATTAATTATAGCCGCCAAATTTCACAAACGCACATTGAGAAAAAACTCACGATACCATCCACACATTTGCATGCTTGGCGGTCCACCACTGTACGTTTCATTAGGATTTTACTTCCTCGTACGACATATTTGTGGAATCGTTTACCAGCGGCGATTTTTCCGAAGCGTTACGACTTAGTGACCTTTAAGAAAAAAGCTTAATCTTTTCTTAAAGGCAGGCAACGCACCTGCAATTCCCCTAGTGTTGCAGTTGGGCATGGTTGTAATCACTTACCATCAGGTGAACCGCATGCTCGTTTGCCCCCTCTTCTATAAAAAACCTCTCTACGCTCGACACGCGATGCGATAGCAATATCATACCGCACGTATGTGATCACGTATCAGAATTTTGCTTCCAGTTAAAGTGAATGACTATACGCCAGCGCAGAAATTTCCGAATCCCGTCCATTCTGTTTATAGTACTTAATGATTCTTTCTCGCCCTTTTATTTAAAAGAAAAATTTCAATTCCGTAGTGACACTTATTTTCTCAATCTCCGATCTTTACACAGTTTATTACTGCCTACTCCTCTCCACCATTCTGGATTTATGTCAAATTCTTTCACAGTAACTTCCATCTCCCTCTGGAACAAGTTGCCCGTTGACCTGCAATAATACCTGCCAAAAATGCTTTTAAAAGAAAACTATACGAACATATCCGTAGCCAACAATTTTTAAGTCCACTTACTTTATATGTTTATAGTTACATTAGAGCGTCGATTATCCGAATTGATTGGGGGACATAGGTGTTCGGAAAACCGGTTTGTTCGGATAATCGAACTGTATTATTGTATGTACCAATATACTAACAAAAACATATTTATAATATGTAATACAAATATAATCTATTACAGTTGTAATACATTGATACGATTATTTACCTTGCACAAGGTGTCGCTAATACACGACGCGTGGCAAAAGTTTTTCGTGGCAAAGCCAAAGCCAAAAAGTTTACAATCCTGACGAAATTGAGTTCAATTTCGTCAGGATTGTAAACTTTTTCTAAAACATAATTTTCTTGTTTTAACTTGTAAGCTCACCAAGGTCACGTATAATTGATTAATAAGTCGCTTAATTTGATTTTGAAAGAATCAGCTGCTGAAGAACCAGCAGATAACTTTTCTCCTTGCATTTGAAGCTCACGAATGACCTCACGTACTTACTTGAAAGTTCGACGGCCCTTCAAGTTTTTCTTTTGGCCTTTCACATAGAACGGCATTATAGATAGGTTCTCCTTGTGATTTTTTTTTTGCGTAAATTACTTGTAAACAGCGTCATCGAGATCGGTGTTCGTGGCGAGCTTCATAGTTTTACGACTTGTACCCATCGGTAAAATTATGTTTGGATATAAAATTGGATATGTTCTTTTAGTTTTTATATCCGTAATTGTCGACTTAGGGCGGATTCGACCAAACGAGAGTAAATTTTATTCTTAGAATAAATTGCTATTTACTCGAGAGTAAGCTCAATTTGCATTCTACCAATAATTAACCCATGGCTAAAGTCACTACACGAGAGTATACTTTATACGGCCGATTTTGGTGGAGTAAAACCTTAAACCAGGAATAATGAAATGTCAAAATGTTAGGTTATGTACATTTATCTTGTCAAAAATCATTAGTCCGTGTTGATATTCCTTGTTTTTATGTGGTTTTAAATCAAAAGCTCGCCAAAATGGAAAGGTTGAGAAATATAATCGAAGAATCTGATAGCGACGATGATTATGTGCCAAGGCGTCCAAGGTGGATAAAGGAAAGAGCTAATCACTTCGAAGATTATGATGACAAAGACTTCGCTGTTAGATTTCGTCTATCCAAGGAGGCCACTCTTTGTTTGCTAACTAAAATTGAGCATAAGTTGGAATATTCGTCAAACCGGTGAGTAGGTACATTGTCTGGTACTTACCTATAAATAATGTAGCTATCTGTTTAGTATAGTATCCGTCCACCTACTTGTTTATAAACTTTATCATTAAAACAATATTCAAAATGGCTGGTGGTCTACCTCCAGAATGTTCGACCCATTCTTAAGTCAGTTTGTGACTGCATTGGTCTTGATTCTAACATAATCAATTTTATTTTACAGAAATTTCTCCATATCACCGATAAATCAGTTGTTAGCAACTTTGAGGTAACTGCTGCAATAGCCTCCCTACACAAAGACTTTATAAAATTTCCTGAAACAAATTCTGAAATAAGGAAAGTACAAGAAGACTTTTATCAGATAGCCCGCTTTCCAAGAGTAATCGGTGCAATGGATTGCACACATATTCGAATTGCCTCTGTTCCGTTACGGTTACAGGTAGGTGGTGAACAAGCCGAATTATTCCGTAATAGAAAAGGATATTTCTCCATAAATGTGCAGACAATCTGCAATGCTAATCTTGAGATTATAGATATAGTAGCTAGATGGCCTGGATCATCTCATGATAGCAACATATTTAACAATAGTTACAGGAAAGCACAATTTGAATATGGTACATATGGTAATGCAGTATTGGTAGTAGATGGGGGATATGCATCAACCTCATACATGATGCCTCCTTTAGAGAATCCCAGTGGACCAGTGGAACAGCTCTACAATGAATCACAAATCAGGACACGAAATCCTGTGGAACGCAGCTATGGATTATGGAAGAGGCGCTTTCCTGTGCTTGCATTTGGAATGCGTATAAAAGTGGAAAGAATTCTGAATGTTATCATCGCTACAGCTGTTTTGCACAACATTTTGAGACGTCGAGGAGAACAAGTACCCCCAGATGATCCAGAAGTTATCCCCCCTGCCCCCTGGAATGAAATTATAAATGATGGACAGATACCCTCTGTTGTGGATGCAGGATCTACCCGAGAATATAGGGCACGAGATGCACTAATATCAGATTACTTTCAAAATTTATTGTGAAAAGTTTTTTGTTACTATTGGTTTTACAAGTTTGAATTATGGGTGTTTTTTTGTTACTAACATGTGTCCGTTCTTTTAGCCCGGCCACCATTGAAACCAAACTTTGTGGTGTGAAAGACTGACTATCTTGAGACAGTTATAGGCAGTTTTTATACAGTTTATCACACCGGCAAAATTATGGGTTTTGAAGGTGGGTAAGCCAAAGAAACGGACACTACTAACATAGTATGTAAGTTTATTGTTACCAAAAAAATAAATGTTATTAAAAGCTATAAATACAAACTAATCATGGCATGTTTTATATTTTTATTAAATTATTTGAATCATTTGGTTTTAGCGACGCATACACACACCAACAGTCATTGATATTTATCAAATAGGAAATTAGGTACATTATTAGTAGTATATAAGGTAGGAAATTAATTATTACATTTCCTCTGAATTTTCCTTGTTCTCTTCTTGATATTCACTCTGTTTTTGTCTTAACTCCAACAATAATAGCTCAGTTTTAATTTTTTCCTGTTTTAAAATTTCTTTTTTAATATCAAGTTCTATTTGCGCAATTAGTTTTTTTTGGTCTGCTTCCTTCCTTTTTCTTTCAGAAATTTTTCAATATCTCCAGTAAATCAGTTGTTGGCCACTTTGAGATATTATGCAACAAACTGGACACAAACAAGTATTGGAGACTACTGTGGTCTAAGTACACCGACAGCAAACAAAATTGTACACAGAGTTAGTGCTGCAATAGCTGCATTACATACAGAATACATAAAATTTCCTGAATCGCCTCAAGAAATAAGATAAATTTTACCAAATAGCTCGTTTTCCAAGAGTAGTCGGAGCCATGGACTGTACACATGTTCGCCTCACATTTGTACCCTTAAGACTGGAAGTAGGTGGAGAACAAGCAAAGACATTTAGAAACAGAAAAGGATACTACTCCATTAATGTGCAAACAATATGTAATGCCAATTTAGAAATAACCGACATAGTCGCAAGATGGCCAGGTTCAACTCATGACAGCACTATATTTAATAATAGCGTTCGAAAAGCACATTTTGAGACTGGTCGCTATGGTAATGCATTATTATTGGTGGACAGAGGATATGCTGCAAAGAGTTATACTATGACTCCATTAGAAAATCCAAGGACACCAGCTGAACAACTGTACAATGAGTCACAAATTCGTACTAGAAATCCTATAGAAAGGTGCTATGGTGTATGGAAAAGAAGATTTCCAGTGTTGGCACTTGGGATGTGAGTAAAATTAGATAAAGCACTAACTGTTATCATAGCCACATCAGTACTTCACAACATGTTGCGCAGACGAGGAGAACAACTTCCACCTGATGACCCAGAAGTGCTATTACCAGCTCCATGGGATGAACTTATACAACTTGGCCAAATGCAAAGCTTGGAATCAGCACAGCAATCTACTGGCCAGTTAGCACGCAATTCGTTAATAAGTAATTATTTTTATAGTTTATTGTAGCTATGGAATGTAGATTGCAGTGATTCTTAATATTATTAATCCAAATTTGAAAAAAGATATAAAATAAAACATTGAAATAAATAAATTTAATATTTTATTGTTTATTGTTGAATTGCTTTTTCTTTAATCTTAAATCTAATAACAAAATATGAGTCTTTAATTTTTCTTGTTTTAATTGTTCCCTTTTTTATTTGTAAATCCAGATTGTGAACATCATTTGAATGAAGTAGCTCCTTCTCAGCAACACTCTTCTGAAAATCAATTGCTTCCATTTTCTTATCATGCAATTTCTGCAATGATGATGAAGGAGCTACATATGTAGGTCGCCTTCTTGAAACCCAAGATTTTTTGTAGTTTTCCTTCTTGCTCATTGTTGTCATACTGAAGAGGTTTTGCAACAGGAGTTCTTAACGTTTCGGGAGTATAATCACTCCAATCCTAAAACAAAGATTTATATTAAAAATGTTAACAACATAATGCCCATATAATATTTCATCTCACAAAAAACATTTAAATGATAAAATTAAAAACAAGTCTACTACAATGTTGGAACACAAATTATAGGCAAGTCGGGCTTTCTTTATTTGACAGCGCAAGTTGCAGCATGGCAAGAATAGAAGATATATAGAAGTATGCACATTTGTTAAAAAGAATATGCACCTTTTTTCAATATAAACCCGGCCTCATTTTTTACATCCTATTAAAAAATTAGCTCCACCTATCACAAAATTACAAACAGTTAAATCAGAACCCCATGGTATGTGTGTAAAAATTTATAATAAAATTCCCAAATGTCTACAAAAAGAAGAATCGTTGTATAAATTTCAAAGAGTGCTTAAAAAATATTTAATTGAAAAAAGTTTCTATTCGTTGTCAGAGTTTTTCTGGTGAAAAATAATAATTGTTTAATTTGAATATGTATACCTCTTTAATATCGTTGTAAATATTGCAAATGTTTATTAAACCTAAAAGTAATGTTTAGTTTAAGTAAATAAAATAAAATTCATCTTTTTTAAATTAATTAGATTAAATTGATATATAACATAATATAATATTGTTACGCCCTATCAGGGCTCATGTTTGGCTCTAATATATCCAACATAAGAACTATTTATGTAACCACATGAACGCAATAAAATGTTTGAGTCTGAAAATGACAGACTTTGCTTTACCTACTCCGAACTATTTATTGTAATGGAGTCAAGATACTTATGTTTAGCAAGTTATAACAAAACATAGCATATATTTACTATATACTATGGGTTGCTTCAGGAGTACAATGTATAGAGCTACAGAAACTAATTTACCTGCATTAATACTTTGTTCGAGTCGATCCCAGTCTTTTGAATTTCATTAAGTTCAGTCTCAAAATCTGTAACCAAATTTTAAAGGTATAACAATTTTGTATGGTTTCTCTAGGGTCCTTGACAAACCATACAAAATTACCATGCAAAATTATGCCTCTCTAAGCTATCTGGGGCAACACTGTCACTGTCAAAATGGTTGAAAAGCCCAACAGCACTTGTTCTAATTAATGATATGATTTTGGAATCTATCTCTCTCTTCTTTCTTTGGATTTGTTGGTCCACCACCTAAAATAGACAAAATTATTAAAGTAAAAGTATTAAAGTATGCCATTTCTCACATTTTCAAAATATTTCTAATATAAATAATAATCCCATTATGTAGGAGACAAAGGAAATAAATCACTTAATCAGAACGCAGCATTGTACTATCAAGTGCTTAATAATAATGGTACATTGAACACCTAAAGATCTCTGGGATAAGCATGTTCCCAGTAGTGGCTAACACTATATAAATGTATGTAGGCATATCTCAGTCCGCTGCTCCTCCAGTTATAAGCTCATAGTTACTCCTGTCCATATTTCTAATGTATACCAAAGATTTATAGGTTTTTAGCCTAAATAACTGGATCAACACAAACATTGATAAGGTAAGGCAGGATAAAAACTAACCTGTTTGGATTCTATGCATCCTCCTGTATGACTCCTCCTTTTTGGCCTTTTTTTCATATACTCCCACTCATTTTTTAAATTTTCTGCTGTACGCGAGCAGTGTGTCGTTTGGCTATTGAATTTTTGCTTCATCGTAACACCATCTGTTTTTTTATTTTCGATGACACGAAAATGTTTTTCTACGAGTCCTAACAACAAACTCTTTTCCGAAGGTAACCAATTTGGGCTACGTTTTCTTTTTTCTCCAGACATTTTATTTGAAAATATAAGAATTAAGGGTAAGGTTAGAATAATCAACTGACAAGTCGCGTGTTAAATTTGTTCAGTGACAGTGACAGTTGACACTATTATAATCCGGCAAACTTTAAATAGACAGAAAGTCTTGCATTGCGCTATATAAACAAATGTATTTCGATTTTAGTTGGCTTACAAGTTCATTCATTTTTCATTCCCCAACTCTAGAGTAACAATACCCAGTATTGGCTACTCTCCGTTTGTGTTGGAAAAACACACTCTAAATTATCCGAGAGTAAAAACAAGGAGTAAATTTATTCGAGGATTAGTTACTCTGCAGTAACATTGAATTTGGTCGAATCCGCCCTTAACCACTTTGTACTTCTTAGATAACTTAGTTGCAGATTCGGCTTTCTCTAATCGTTTGTTAATCTCGTATTTATCTTTTATGGAAGGAACACGTTTACGTTTAGGCATTTTAAATTGCAATCTAATAGTGCAAAATTAACACATAAGCGTGTAGCGCTATCAGTACTGAACGTAGGCCAACACGGTACACTGCGTGGAGAAGCGAGAAGGTGGTCGCATCCCAATGAGGTGCTGAGGTAACAGTTCGGTTAAGCGGCCGTTCGGATAATCGACGTTCTATACTATATATATACTGTATTTGTATATACATTTATTGACATATATATGTATAATTGTGTATATATATATATATGTATGTATGTATAGCATGTACATATTTGAACTGATTGTGATCATGACAACTTTACTGCCCATAACTCACTCTCTGTTCTACCCGAGGTTAGCTGGTAGAGAATGTCATATAGCATTAAGCTCGCCTTTTGTACAAAATCTTGGGTGCAATAAAGAATAAAATAAAGTAAATAAATACCGTCGCGTAAGTATTGCAATAGTTGACTCTGAGAAGTGCTAGAAAAATCTTATGGTTTCCGGTAAATGGCATTATATCATATCGTTCGAAGATGGGGAGCAGCGTCGAAGGCGTGAGACGTCTGGTGCTGCGAATCCGACTAAATTATGACGAATAAGGAAAATCCCCCCCTACTTGGGCCCATATCCACCAGTTGACGTACACTTACGAGTAAGTGTTCGATTATAAAAGTATATTATACTGATATAATAATATTGCAGGCTGTGAAGTATTCACGAGGTATTCAAAATACAGCAGCTTAATGCCGCTGTGTTCCGTCCACACAGGTGGACTGTGTGCTCATTTGTCCTTACATATAAAACAAATTGAATAAATTCCATCTTAGTCCTCAGCAGGGACAACTCATTACAGTTGTGTTCTTGGAAATTTCTTTTTTTAAACCAGACTGCGGATGTCCTTGAGGTGCACCAGCCACTTCTTATTTGGAGGACTGTTAACTAGTTTCTTATTATGTTAAACATAATTAAAACAATAACATTAAGTGTGATTACATGACTCATACACATGTCCTTAAACACTACTCCACAGGTAAAAGTGTATTAGTCACAGGGTCGTTTTTCTTTGAGTCGGTAACAAATGTTGCAACAAGTATTTTTTTTAATTGAAAAAATATTACTTTTATAAGGTTCTTTTGATATTTTTTATTTATTTTATATAGAATGATAGTAACAAACGAGCACATAGTCCGCCTGATGGTAAGAGAATATTGTGGTCATCTACATTGTTCCTCGATTAAGAATCAAAACGCAGATGCGTTGTCACCCCTGATGACAAAGATGGAATGCCTCGTTTCCGGTAAAAAGGGTCTCTACACTCACCATACGAAACACAGCAGTATTAAGCTGCTATTTTACGTTGGTATTCGGTGTGAGCGTGGTCCTTCCCTGTACGAGCCGACCCGTTCTTGCTACAACCATAATATAAAAAATCTCCTGTATAGAAGAGTTTCGTAGTTGTTACCAACCTCATAGCAATTTTTTAGAAATAATTAATTCTTTGGAAAAAATTGTATATATTTGATAGAAAGAGTTAGTATAATTACAGATCCATTTTCCTTCAGTCCTCAGGCAATATCGCAACTGTACCTAACATTATCCTTGAAATTGACTGCAGATGTCAATTAACTTTAGTAATATTGATTCGAAAACTATAAAAAAATCTTTTATTTTTTATTTTACATATTAGGCTTAAATAAAGTTTCCAATAAAAAGAGTCTCCGATTCTCTACATTCACCATACGAAACACAAAAAACACAGCAGCATCAAGCTGCTAGTTTACGCGGCATTCTGTGAGGGCGTGGTTCTTCACTGGTCGAGCCGACCCATTCGTCCTACAACCATATAGTACCAAGAGCCTTACCTATTTGAGGCTTCTAGCTAGTGTTTTTAATCTAACATACACTAAATGGTTATATCACCTTCTATTGCATGGCTTGGGATGTTTCTACTGTTTCTCACAGTTGCCTTTTACGATATCTATGTATTGAATTGGGTCAATGTATTCTATTGTGTCACTATCACGCGGAAAACGGGACATTTTACAATTTTATATCATTACAGCTGATTAAAAGTCCTTTACTAAACAGATCTTCCTCATAGATATCCTCATATCCCCAATATTTGACAATAGCTTTCACGCTTGGCAGATGGGTAAGCAACAGCAGTTTATTATTTTGAGTAGTTATGAGAAATATGCTATTATCACCTCGCCTCCGGCTTAGTTTTCTGCTATAGATATATTAGCGATTAATCCAGGCATCTCACGGGTGATTCCAGGATCTCGACAACAGCACCAGCTATCGGTCCTATTGAGTTTTTAAACCATCCAGGGATCCACTTTAAAACAAATGAAAAATTCATCAAAATCGTTCGAGCCGTTTTTGAGTTTTAGCGAGACTAACGGACGGAAATCAGTTTTTATATATAAGAAGAAGACATACACATTACGAAAAAAAAAGAGTGTGAAAAGTGTCCCTTTACAGCTTTACACACTCTTTTTTTTTCGTTTCGTTTCATTCGTGCGAATGAAAGTGTAAATTTATAAAATGTTCCATATCTGAAGTTTTATTTGTATTTTATTTATTTGTCAAGGTCACCGACAGGTGAAACTTAAAAACTAAAAGAACATACAGGCATTGTATGAAATGTGCCTCACAGTTGTAGGCAACCTCAGCTAACACAGAGTACTGTTCCGAAAAGTTAAATAATGTAAAATTTAGCAGTACCTACAGTAGATAGCATATTTCGGTATTCATGAGAAATTAAATAAGTTTAAATTTTTTATTCAAGAGCCGTGGTAGCTCATATGGTTAGCGCTCGCTGTAAATTTCACAGTACGCGAGCAAACCGGGTTCGATCCCTGCCGGCGCCAACGAAATTGTTAATTGCAATTTTAAGTGCTGATTTACCACGTGCTCGGCGGTGAAGGAAAACATTATGAGGAAAGCTGCATGTCTGAGAAATAAGAAGAAAAAATATTTGGAAGACATGTGAAGTTCACCAAAATGCATTGTGGCAGCGCGGCTGACAACTCCTTACCCTATAACCCTCTCAGAAATGAGCGGAGGCCTGTGCTCAGGACGGGAACGTATATAGACTGTAACTTTTAACATTTTTCATTCAAGAATCATTGAAAATATCCAAATCAGATGGCCTAGATATATCGTTATACAGTCTAAACTTTCTGGATAATGCAGAATTAAGACTGAGGTTAGTCTTCTGAGGTTTGACCATAAACAACTTGTAGACATAAAAGCTAGATAATCTGTTTGGAGCATTTACATTAACCATTTTTATTAATTGAGGAGTCAATACCATTACTGAAAAGTTTGTAGAGGAAGCTTAAATTCAAAAATTTGCGCCTGTCAATTAAGGAAGACATTTATACGTGGTAGAGCTACGCTACAGCTTTATTATAGTTTTAGCACGAATGGGTCGGCTCGAGCGGGGAAGGATAACGCTCTCACAGAATACCAGCATAAAATAGCAGCTTAATACTGGTGTGTTTCGTATGGTGAGTGTAGAGATCCGGAGACCCTTTTTTACGGGAAACGAGGCATTCCATCTTAGTCCTCACGGGTGACAACGCATCTGCGTTTTGATACTTAATCGAGGATAAAGGTAGATATCTATAGGCCACAGCATTCACTTACCATCACGTGGACTGTGTAAACCTCATGAAAAGGAGACCAAACTTAAGAGAAATATTCAAGGTAGCTCGGAACTAAGCTGTCAAAGAGCAGTAGTAAAGTTTGAGTATGTCTGAATTGTTTCGTGTTTCTAGCTAAAAATCCGCACACTTTGAACGCCTTCGTTGTAAAACAGTTTATATGTGATACGAAAGACAATTTACTATCCAACAAAATACCTAGGCATACACTCTACTTGATTGAGTACTGTGTTGTCAATCTTGTATGTAGTTTGGATAGGACTATGTTTACGAGTGAACGATATATAATACAACTTAACACTATTTAGCATTCAGAAGCATATTGTTTCAGTATACAACTCGATCAATCCATATAGATCGGTTGGAATAATCTGGTGATGATCTAACAGGCCTTGAGCATTTTAAAACAACCTCTGTGTTCAAAAAACATTCTGTCGCTTAGTTGATCAAAATTTGAAAGTTGATTATTATTTTACAAAGTTTACACTTAAATTCTTATAGGAAAAGGGTAAATTTTTTTATAGGAGAAGTGTGACTAACGAGCACACAGTCCACCTGATGGTAACTGGTTGTTGTGGCCCATAGACATCTACATCTATCCTCGATTACGAATCAAAATGCAGATGCGTTTTCATCCGTGAGGATGATGAGGGTGGAATGCCTCGTTTCCAGTAAAAAGGGTCTCCGGTTCTCTACACTCACCATACGAAACACAGCAGCGTTAAGCTGCTGTTTTCGTTAATATTTTATGAGAACGTGGTCCTACCTCGA